TTATTTTGAATTTTACACACGATAAAGTGCATCTTAGCAAGGTTCAGTGGCTGGTGAAGGTTCGGGGCTAGAAAACAGGCTGGGATTTAAACCCTGGTCGTCTGAATTCAGAGCTTGCATTCTTAACCATCCTGATGCAGTACTGTGTCATCCTGATGCTTTGGAGGCTTGGTGGGAGGGACTGTTTGGACTGTCCCCACCCCAGCGGGGGGAGGGAGGAGAATGAAGAGGGGAGGAGGTTCATCTGATCAAAATATATTCTATGTATGCATGGAAATATCTCAGTGATCCCCTTGTCCTATCAATATATGCCAATAAAAACATTTTTAAACCACACGGGACTTGGCTTGGTTTAAAGTGTACAGTTCACTGGTATTAAGTACATTCTGAATGTTGTGCAACCATCCCAGTATCTAGTTTCAAAAAATTTCATCACCCCAAGTGGAAAGCTCATATCCATTGGCCAGCACTGCCCCTTCTCTCCTCCTACCTCTGGCAACCACTAATGGATCTTCCACCTCTATGAATTTGTCCATTTTGGCCATGTCATGTAATATGTGTGGCCTTTTGTGACTGGCTTCTTTCACTTAGCATAATGTTTTCAAGGTTCATCCATGTTGGAGCATGGATCAGTACTTAGTCCTTTTTTCTGTTTTGTTTTTTTTTTTGAGACTTTGTCTTACTATGTAGCCTATGCTGGCCCTGAACTCATGATCCTCCTTTCTGAGCCTCCCAAATGCTGGGATTACAGGTATGCACAACCATGCCTGATTTCTTTATTCCTTTCATGACTAAATCATTGCATTTTATGCATTCATTTGTTGATGGATATTTGAGTACGAGTTCAATGTCAAAGTCAATTTTGACACTGATTGAGCTTATAGGCAGATGTGTGGGAAGGTCAGATTAGAGTTGAACTCTTTTGTAGTACTGGGGGTTGCCTCAGGGCCTCTCATTTGCTAGGTTCTATTTCTTTTGCACTTTTTGTGTTGTTTTTGAAGTAGGGTCTCCCTTTATGGCTGGGCCAGCCTGGACTGCACTCCTCCTATTTGTGCTTGCTGGGGATGACAGGCGCATACCACCAGCACCCAGCCATTGGTTGAGATGGGGTCTCTTGAACTTTTTTCCTGGCTGATCTTGAACTGTGATCCTCTTAATCTCCACCTCCCAAGTAGCTAGGATTACAGACATGAACCACTGCACCCAAGAGCTTTTTAACCTCATCACTGTTGACATTTAGAGCCATATAAGGGGGTGCAGGGGACAGGGGAGCTGTCCTGTGCATTGTTGGATGTTTAACAATGTCCCTAGCACCTACCCATGACATGCCACCCTCTGCCCAGTTTAACAACTAACAGTGTCTCCAGATGTTCTCTGAGGGACAGAATCACCCCTGGTTGAGAACTACTCACTGGTCCATATTTAAACTTTAAGGGTTTCTCTTCCTCTTTTGTACCTTTTTCATACTTTTTTTTTTTAAATATCTTTATTCCTTTTTTTTCCCCTTTGGGCAGTACTGGGGTTTGAACTCAGAGCTTTGTGCTTGCTAGGCAAGCACTTTACTGCTTGAGCCATACCTCTGACTCTCTCTTCCTCTTTTAAATGGGATGTGAAAGGAGTCTCATAACAAAATGTTCCTGCATTTATATATGTTGTAACACATCCTTACTTTGTGTTTTAGGGTTGAAAAATACCGGCCACAGACTCTGAATGATCTCATTTCCCATCAGGACATTCTGAGTACCAGTAAGTATCATGTGTCCACTGCAGTCAGCCCTGTTGAAAGACCTGTATAAATTTCTTGGTGATGTTGTCTCTGCTAATAACGTTAAAGAATCTGAGCTTTGTAGAATGTGGCTTTAAGTTTCATTCCTGACAGGGTATGGTGGTGCATGCCTATAATCCCAACTACTATGAGGCAGAGATAGGAGGATTGCAGTTGGAGACCAGCCCATGCAAAATGTTAGTGAGACCCTGTTTCAAAAACAAGTCAGGCGTGGTGGCACAAGCCTGTAATTCTGTCTTCTTGGGAGGTGGAGGTAGGAGAATCAGGACTGGGCAAAAGCACAAGACCCTATCTGAAAAGCAAAGTAAAAGCAAAGGACTGGGGTGTGGCTCAAGTGGTAGAGTGCTTACCTAGCAAACACAAGGTCCTGAGTTCAATTCCCAGTATTAGAAAAATAGTGTCCATTCCTGCAGCTGTCCCTGATAAGGTTGAAATGCATTCAGCCCAACTCAGGAACCCACAGTTAGTGTGAGATTCCCAGAGAGTGACGGCTTCTCTCTTCCCTCCCCATCCTCAGTTCAGAAGTTCATTAGTGAAGACCGCCTACCGCACCTGCTTTTTTATGGCCCTCCAGGGACAGGAAAGACATCCACCATCCTTGCCTGCGCTAAACAGCTCTACAAAGATAAAGAATTCGGCTCCATGGTCTTGGAGGTGAACTGGATTTATTCTGACTACAGATAACTAAGGACTCCTGTCTCTTACCTTTAGTTCTGCTCTGTCCTCTGGAGACAGGTGTGGGGCTGGGCATTTTTCATGGCTGTTGTCAGCTTTTAGCAAACCCCCACTTTATTCGTTCAGTTGAGGCCTGTTCTGCTGTGCACCCCTCCGTGCCCACTGTCCACATTATGCCCCCACCATTCTTGCCTGTGGCTCCTGGCTGGAGTTGGCCAGTAGGGGTCCTGGTGAGGGCTGGAGGCAGGAAGAGAATGGTGCCTGGACCTGCACCATAATAGTGCTCTTCTCACAGCCCTCCCCAGGTACCCACGGCTGCTTCCTCTTTGAACCCCTTCACACTTGGAGGCGATAACAGATATCATCTAGCCCCTTGAACATCCTTTAAAATACCTCTTAATTCTCTTCAGTTACCGTATTTGGTATTGTTAGGACTTTGACTGATACTCTTAGACTGCAAAAATCTAAATATTGTCTTTCGCAAGAGAAACGTTTGGCTTACTTTTCTGACACGGGTCTCAGAACCTTGCTGTTTCTTGTGTTCACTTCCTACTTTGGTGAATCCAGTTTTGGTAGCTAACCTTTGCATCGTCTGCTCCGAGCAGAGGTGGTGTTGAGGGTAGCCCAGGCAATGTTTACTTTCCAACTTTATGTAGAGAGATGGTCCTTGAAGGGTGAGCAGAAAGAGCCATTCTCCTTTCAGAATGCGATGTGATGGGTTAGTGAGTTCTCAGTTCAACCGTGGTCTTGTTCATATCTTAATGATTCTCTTTTAGTTGTCATTAGGCCTGGATAACTAGTTTGCAGAGCTGATCAAAAGACACATTAAACCAAGGATCTGTAGATGGCAAACGATGTGTTTCTCATGAAGGATCTTTCTTCCACGTGCAGCTGAATGCTTCAGATGACCGCGGAATAGATATTGTCCGAGGACCAATTCTGAGCTTTGCCAGCACGAGGACAATATTTAAGTAAGGATTATTTGTATAATTTCTCTACCTAGAGATTTTGATCAGTGAGGTGATACAGCTTATTTTCTTAATCCTCCCCTTTGTCAGTTTATAAGGGTAAAACATGACTGTCATAAGCAGCCATGAATAAAATGAGGTGGAGGGAGGTGGTGAGAATATTACGTGCAAATATTAAGATAAACCATTACCTAAACCTGTATTAGCAGCCGTCAGGAAACCTAACTCCATATTAATGGTTAATTAAGGACTTGTTACATCCTAAGACTGGATGAGTTAGTTTGAAGTTAAACAAAAAATAAGTTGACACCAGGAAGAATAATTAGGATGGTGGTTTAAAAAAAAAAAGGCAAACAGCTGTGGGCGTAAGTGAAGGGGGTGAGAAAAGCAGGTAGAGGGGCTGGAGTGTGGCTCAGTGGTGGAGCTTGAGTTTAGCATACGTGGGGCCCTGGGTTTGATCCCCACCACCACAAACAAAGCAAGCAGTGATCAGGTACTGTGCAGAGCAAAGAGAAGGACACCAGAGAACCTGACACAAGAAGCATACAGAAGTTAGACCTCGGTTCCCACCAAGAGTAAAAGGGTCGACGGTGTGGTAGGGCATGTTCTGTTTGTGTGACCACAGATGTCAGCTTTGGTCAGAGTTCTGGGAGAGGTGGACTTCTTTCTGCCTGGTGGCACAAACCTGAAGATGGAGGTTTGGGCCTTAGTGTTGAAGTGAGATTGAAGAAGTCCTTAGACATGTCGTTTATCTTCCTAGGAAAGGGTTTAAACTCGTGATCTTGGATGAAGCTGATGCCATGACTCAGGATGCCCAGAATGCCTTAAGACGAGGTAGGAAGAGCTGCTAAGTTCAGTGTGTTGTGATGAGTGCTGCAAAAGGAGACTTGGGAATTCGGGTGTGACATCCCAGGGTGGTGTGTTCTCCATATTTGTTCATCTTCTGGTTCACAGGACCCTCTGTATACCTCTGTCATGTACTTGATGATCCAGACACGAGAGCCCTGTGGCCAGGCTATTTCCTTTCAGCACTTTAAGGACATAGCCCTGCAGGGGCTTTTAGATAGGACCATTCTCTAGCGTTTCACCCTTCTTTGCTACTGGATCAACTTCAGGTTGGGAACATGTGTCATTCAGGGGGTGGATATGGAAAGTCTTTTCTTTCTAAGCTGGTGGACATACCCTCAGATGCACAGCAGCCAGGAAAAGACTACATGGAGTATAATCTTTTGATAAAGTTGGTGTGATTTCACTAGACAAGTGAGAGCCCCCATGGGAAGGGGCAAGGACCCTGTGATTTATTTGCCTGTCATACAGGGCAAGTGCAGTTCATTTTGTTAAGGGACCCTTCTCATTTCTCAGTGGGATTCTGAAGGCATTGGCTGTGAGAACAGTTTTTAGTAGCTAGGAGGAAAGGAGTGGATCGCAGCGAAGGTTGTAGAGGAGGGGGAGAACATTAGGATGTCTTCTGGTCCTGGAAGCGTTGGCAGCCTGTCTTCAGCATCATGTTCTGCAGAGCAACTGACAGTCTGAGCAGATCCCTGTGCGAGGACACTGAGTCCTTGCAGACTGGCTCTTGTGTCTTGAGCATCTATCTCAGCTCTGGTTCTTGCGACTGTGAGTGTTCCAAGGCCTGCAGACAAGGGCAACAGAGAGTCTGCACAAACCCATCCTCTCCCCTCCAGAGAAGCAGAACATTGATTGTTCCCTGCCAAGTAGCAGCATATGCAAAAGGACAGTCTTGTCCTGGGACTCAGGTCTTAAGGGATGAGAGGACACGATCACCAGAACTGTAGCAAATCATTAAAAAAGGCTGTGTTATGTGAAATTTCATGAAGATGATACATCATTAGCTTCCCAAAAAGAGTGACTGGGCCGTGCTATAAGACCAGCTGTTTGGGAAATGGAGATAGGATAGAGGGCTGAGGCCAGTCTGGGCAAAGTGAGCATGAGACCCTATCTGAAAAACAAACTAAAAGCAAAAGGACAGGGGTGTCACTCAAAAGGGCCTGAGTTCAAACTCCAGTACTTTTTAAAAAAAAGAGTGCTCACATCCGGTTCTATTATTATTATTATTATTATTATTATTATTACTGGCAGCACTGGGGTTCGAACTCTGGGCCTCACGCTTGCTAGGCAGGCACTCTGCCACTGGAGCCGTTCCTCTAGCCTCTGACCTCCCGTCCTGAACACGCGGTGAGACCTTCTCTGGGCAAGCAGCCACTGCAGCATGCGTCCCTGTGCTCGGGATTTCTGGGTTCTTTGAAGAAGGGGATGGACTTGGATGTGACACAGTTTTGTTTTCCCTCACCAGTGATTGAGAAATTCACTGAGAATACCAGGTTTTGCCTCATCTGTAACTATCTGTCCAAGATCATCCCCGCCTTGCAGTCTCGGTGCACAAGATTCCGATTTGGTCCCCTGACGCCTGATCTCATGGTTCCCCGCCTAGAACATGTTGTAGACGAAGAAAAGTGAGTACACTGTTAGCAGGAAGAGCAAGGGTCCTGGGCCCTGGGGGATGGTTGGTTCACACTTAGCAGATCGCCTCGCACAGGGGAAGCCTGGGGAACTCTGGCTGCTGTCATTTTCTCTGGCATCTCATGGACAGTCCTCCTTGAAGCCATTTGATTTTTCTGATTCCATCCATCCCTGGAAGCGGTCCCAGCTTCTTCCTACTCTGTCATTGGAGACTGCACGCTGCTGAGTCCCTCCTGCAGATGCTCCAGCCTCTAGATGAGAAGGGAAGGTTCAGAGATGTCACATTCTGGGAACAGGATGGCAGGCGAGTGGCTGGCCCAGGCAGCTGCTTGCTGTCAGGGAGGTGCTTAAGCCCTGTGATCGTGGATCACACCAGAGAATAACTCACAGCCAGTTGCTCAGTGAAGGAGCAACTAGGCCCTAAATAAGGGTCTTTCTAGACGTGGGGTGGGCTGTGACTAAGAACTGGGATGTTTATGGGTGGTGTAGGTCAGGAGGATATTGTTCGCACTGTTCTTTTTTTCTCTCAATCTCATAAAGCCGCAATCATTCCAGGCCATCTCATTCCCCTTGGTGCATGCTTGTGCTGTTGGGTTGCTGTATAAATCCCTTTTGTTTGTATTCTGTCAGGGTGGATATAACTGAAGATGGAATGAAGGCCCTTGTAACTCTGTCCAGCGGAGATATGCGACGTGCTCTGAACATTCTGCAGGTACGCGCCCACTCAGCCAGTCTCCAGTCATTGCTTTGAAATTGATTTTCAAGAAAGACAACAGGACAACCAGTCTGTAAATTGAGAAAAGTAGAACTGGTAAGGCACCTATCATGATGTACCAGATCCCCGTCCTTTGTTTTGATTAATTGAAAGGATCTTTGTTGAGACTGAGGCAGGAGTAGGGAGGGATTCTGTAGCCCTCCCAGCCTGCCAGCACAGCCTCCTCTGATGAGGCCGCTCTTTCCAGTGTGAAGCACACAGAGTTCGTGTTGTAGCAGGCCCTTGTCACAACTTGGCGCACTAAGTTCTCCCTGGCCACCTGCAGTGTGGCAGCTGATAATGCCCTCTGGATCTTCCCCTATCTGTGTAGAGCACCAACATGGCCTTCGGGAAGGTGACAGAGGAGACTGTCTACACCTGCACGGGGCACCCACTCAAGTCAGACATTGCGAACATTCTGGACTGGATGTTGAATCAAGACTTCACCACAGCCTACAGAAGTATCCTTTCTCGTGACTGCTGTCACTCTTGTGACCGCCATCATCTGGAGGACATGAAGCTGGGGCTGCAGCCAGCACCTCTAACTTGCTGGAAGGGTGGCTGGCTGCTTGTGCTCTGCTCACCTTGTGGTGGGGATTGGTGTCTGTAGGGGGACCAGCTTCTTGTCTAGCATGCAGAGTTCCTCCAAATGGCTGCAGCCTGCGTGAGCTGAAAGCAACTTTGCTCATGGATGGAGAAAAGCAGTTCACGTGATTACTGTGACGACATGGTCAGCGTTAACTGGTTTTGCTGTGAAGGTAAAAGCTAGGAATAAGGTATGAAGCCTTTGGGGAATGCACTTTGCTGGGTTCTTACTAGAAGGAGCTACAACTATACTTTTTAGAAAGCCCTTAGTGAAGATAAAACAGGAAAACAGGAATCAGGGCCTTGTGCACAGCCTGGAATTGAAAGAAACGCTGTTGGGAATAAAAGCCCTGCTGTAAAGTTGCTTGCTGGGGTTTTGATTCATGAAGTTCTGGACCTGTTACCTTCACCTTAGCTGCTCCCCCAGATATCATGGAGCTGAAAACTCTGAAGGGGTTGGCACTGCATGACATCCTGACGGAGATCCACTTGTTCGTGCACAGAGGTAACACTTGTGCTCTAGTGAGAGGCTGAGGACATTCCCTGTGGGAAGGAGGGCAGCTGGAAAGAGAACACAAGGCTTTATTCTCTCTTACTTATTTCTGTAGTACTGGGGATTGACTCTGAGAACCTCCTACTAGACAGGTGCTCTAGCACTTGAGCCACACCCCCACTCCATAGGCTTCTTTCTTAAAGCGAAGAAACAGGAATGAAGAAAATGACCCTTTCTTTTTAGCAGTTCTGTCTTGTTGTTTAAAACTTTGTTCCAGCCAGGAGGCAGTGGCTCATGCCTGTAATCCTAGCTACTTGGGAGGCAGAGATTGGGAGGATCACTGTTGAAGGGCAGCCCAGGCAAATAGTTTGTATGACCCCCATCTCCAAAATAACCAGAGCCAAGTGGATTGGGATGTGCTCAAGCATTAGAGCACTCTGCTTTGCAGAGTTCAAAGCCCTGAGTTGAAACCCCAGTGCTACCAAAAAACTTTGTTCCAAAAACCCTTCTTTAGTCACTGGAATTGCTGTGTGAGTAAAAGGAAACTCCTGAGGACTAACTTTATTTCCTCCAGGGGTATGCATTTTATGGCAATGAGTAGTATGGTTTAATATACTTTGTTAAGTTTTATTTTGGTACTGGGGATGACACCAAGGGCCTGGGGCATTCTGTGTAATTTTTTTTTTTCCTTTTTGGTGGGACTGGGAGCCTTTCTAAGCACACACTCAGCCACTGTTCTCTTACCCAAAGTAATTTACCTGTCTCAAAGAGTACTTGTGCCCAAGGAAAGGGGGCAATGTATCTTGTGTAATCCAGAACAGACTCAAGGAAGCTACTTAAGCTCCATACTTTGTTTTGCATTCTGTGCAGAGAAATGAATTCAGCCTTGGCAGCACCTAGGAATCATCCCAGGCCAATTAAATCAGCCCTTGGGGGAAAAGACAGGCATCAGCATTTTGGGGGGTTCCCAGGTGGTCCCCCAGCAGCATTTTGGAGAAGCTTTTCTCTCAACAGCCTCCTGCAACTGAGAGGTTCTGTCAGCCAATGAGAACGTGTGTTTAGGCTTACTTTCAAAACTGGGACAGCAAGTGAGAACTCAGCTATTTACCTTGTAGAGCTGCCCAAAAAGGGCAGTCACCCTTGCTGAGTCTTCTGTGTTCTTAGGATCACCGTGGAATTGGCTCTATCTGTGTTTCTATTTATTTTAAAATTAACTATACTAAGAAGAATCACAAACTAGTAGGCAAAGCATATGAAGCCTACAGTGTTTTGACTTTCGTACTTCTGGATACTTGATGTTCAGACTCATACTTGCTGGGAGAAGTTCAGTGTGTCTGTCTGATGTTCAGGCTCCTTCTTTCCTCTCTGCTTTTTGATAGTGAGTCGCAGATCTTCACTCATTTGCTTTTGTTTTTCCCTCAGTTGACTTTCCATCTTCAGTTCGAATCCATTTATTGACCAAAATGGCAGACATCGAGTGAGTGTTTATTCTCCAATTTAAATCTCCCCCGCCCCTTCTTGCTTGGTTTTGGCTTTTTTGTCTACATGATTCACATACAGTAGTCTCTTGCTTGGGTGGTATAAAATGGGACATGAATGCTGAGTTGCTTGTGTTCAGGAGCGAGCACAAGCACGAGAATGCACGAGTTATGTATTGGAGCTGAGGGTCTCTTCTCAGACCCACGTTGGTTTTGCAGATGCTCTTGTAATTTTAGAGGCCTGCTTCACTTCAGACCTCTAGGTCATTTGGGGACAACCGGCTATCCAGCTGTTATTAAGGCATTTTGGCATACTGGAGCATATTGGGGAGAAAAGTAAACACCAACTCAATTTTCCACTTTGCCTGGCTCAGTAAACACTGTTATTAGCCCCCAGCGAAGCTGGCAACAGTCATTTAAGGGCACAGAGCATTGCGTTCAAACAAGACATCAGCATAGGCTAACTCCAGTTTGCTGTCACTGGTGTTCATGTGCACGAATTAGGTCACTATCTACCGCCTACATTGTGAATATGATTTTGCTTTCGATGGTTGGGCATTTAAAAGGTGCCTGATGAACCACCAACCCTCAGCCAAATTTCCCAGTGAAATGTCTTGGTTAAGAGGAAGGAGGCCTCCAAGTCCTCTTAATGCATCCTATAGATAAATAACCCTAATCACATGAATTCTGCATATTTAGAGAGAACAAAGTTAAATTCAGAACACTGCTGCTGTTGAGGCAGCAGTTTGAATCCAGTTTCTAAATCTCTGTTTAGGGCAAGAAGAAAATGTTAGGGGACACATAAACAAGACTGCTGTCCAGGGTAGATTTTTATTATCTCCTTGCCCCACCTTCAACAGATCATCAGCCTTTGCTCTCTCCTATTCTCTTACACAAAGGCAAGCATCGTAACAGTCCTTATTCTGACCTTGGGATGGTTTCTTTTAGGTATAGACTTTCTGTTGGCACCAACGAGAAGATTCAGCTGAGTTCCCTCATTGCTGCTTTTCAAGTCACCAGGGATCTGATTGTCGCAGAGGCCTAGATGCTCCAAGGCCTGTTTACCACATTTCGGGTGAAATGCTGCCTGACCACAAGATGAGGCCATGACATCACCTGTCTTGGAAAACTCTGTCGCATGGATGGGCAGATATTTAAATAATACTGCCTGTGCCTGTTTGGACCAGGAATGTACAATTGATTTTGGTGTATAACTGCCCAGCCCATCTGTCTTTTATAAAAGAAAAAAAAAAAAAACTTTTTGGCATTAAGGTCTTTACCCTTCAGTTGTTTAGATGACAAGAAATTGGCCTACCTCATTTTGGTCTGGAACCTAAGGTTTTCATATCAGATATGCTTTAATAAGTGACTTCTGACCCAAGGTAAAAAAACATCTCCAAAGTTATTCATGAGTGTAACCTTTGGCACTATCTCTGTATCTACTTTAAAGAAGTGCTGAGGAATTCCTGGCCAAAATTACTGTATTACAAAGCAGAGTGAACTGTCTTACTTTCAAAATGGGTCTTTTGCCTGGTGTAGTGGTACAGGCCTATAACCCCAGCACTCAGGAGGTGGAGGGCGAATCTTTAGTTTGAGGCCAGCCTGGGCTGCATAGCAAGTTCCAGGTCAGCCTGAATGACATAGCAAGACTCTGCCTACAAAACACCCTGGTCTCTTATTTTCTGCGGACTCCCAAGTTGTGGTGTGGACCACAGGAAAAACTATCAAGAGTTAGCCTTTGAAATTGTGCCTCTGCGGGCCAGCAGTTGTGTAAATTTGCACGGTGCGGGAGAGTGTGTGTCAGTAGACCTGACTCTAACCTGAAGATGCTGCAAGGGTTGGGATGGCTGTACAAATGCAGCAGTCTAAGAGCAGCTTTGCTGCATTTGTGTTAAGTGCAAGTGACTTCCTTTTTTTTTTTTTTTTTGGTGAGACTGGGGTTTGAACTCAGGACTTCACACTTAAAAAGCAGATGCTTTACTGCTTGAGCCACACCTCCAGTCCTCAAGTGACTCTTCACCAGTGATAAAGATGCTGACTTGTCTAACTTGTATTTATTTTAAAGCCTTCTGACATCAGAGAGAAACTTTCTTTGGAGGCTGTTCTTTATAAAGCATCAAATCTTTAGCTTGGCCTCAACTTAACCATGCTTTGACTTACAATTTTTAGACTTTACGATGGTAAAAAAGCAATATGCATCCTGTAGAAATCGCATTTCTGGTGTTGGTCTTTTTCCTGGGCAGAGGCAGAAAGCTACACCTGGCAGCACAGTCGCAAAGGGGAACTGAGGCTCTGTGGTATGCAGTTGCCATGTGATGGTATTCATGCATTTGGACTTGACATTTTCAGCTCACAGTGGGTTTATTGGGATGTAACCCCATTGTAAGTTGAGGC